CCAGCACGACGGTAGCCTCCGCGCCAGCCGGGATTCTCTTCAAGATATAATCGTTGTGACCCTTCTTCAGGTCCTCGTTGCTGCTTGTGTACGTCAGCTCTTCCTTCATGTCTACCACCGTGTGATTGCTGTCCAACGCGAGGCTCGACGACACAATTTTTGGCTTTGTGTCGTTCAGATTCTACAAGGGAAGATACACGTTAGATATGTTTGAAAAATTCTCGCACCGATATTTATGAATATGTATGCATACGATGCGTTGGACCAGACAAAGGTTTTACCAAAGAGAAGGATTTACATGTCCCTAATGGGACAAGCGAGAAAAGTGTTCTCTCTCCTTACGACAGAGGTGGATTTTTCATACCTTATCTTTCCTTTTCTTTAATTCTTCATTAAATCGTACATTCTTTTTATTCGTTACAGAATAGAGAATCCGCCTCTGTCCAATACTTGAGGAAAAATCGCAAATACCCGTTCTTAAGTACTACACACTGTAGGAGATCAAACTCTACTTGAGTAGTTGAACAAGTGACGTGTACCAAGCGAAAATTAAAGAACAAAAAAACAGTAGAACAGCGACGACACAAAGAGTACACATACTGAACGGGGTAAGGGTAAGAAAAACAAAAAAGAAAAAACAACAGATCGAAAAGTGTAAAATCCCAATGAATGAGTGTGCAGTGTAATCACGATTAAGCGTATCATATGTGTCGAATACGAAAAAAAAAAAAAAAAAAAAAAAAAAAACGTACACTATCCAAAAAAAGCTTACTGCAAACGGCGAACATAAAAAGACAAATAACAAATCGCAAGCTAGAGAAGTAACGACGTATATTATCCATGGACTTACAGGTGGTTCAGCTAAATGCAATAATCGTACATAATTATCGAAAGATTTCTACGAGACGACAATTTCCTACGACATCAACCAACATCATTCCTAAAAACTAACGCTACTTCTATCAAGTGAGTCGCGAGTTACGATTAGTTTCGGTTATGGATTTCGTGAATGCAATATCTCGCGTTTTCGTCCGAAAAAATGTTTCTTTTTTTAATTACACGAACGAGAAGACAAAGGGTAGCGGCAACGAAAGG